ACCTCATCATTCCACATAATCCAGATGCCGCCGGAGAATCCCCGAGCCTCAACACGAAAAGAGTTCTCGAATCTACTATAACGCATAAACCGGTCTGCGTTTCTTCCACTAATACGAGGTTCGAAAAGGGCCACAACGTCAGGCGTGTATTGTTGGATCAAAGTAGAGAAAGCTCCCCAGAAACCGGGCGAGCCTGCCCCTTGCACGTTCCACGTTAATATATTCATAACGTAACCATTGAGATAGAAGTGGCAAACTGCCATTAATTCAAGGCCAGGACTTGCATGTCCGATGGCTGCCCCATGCACTCATGATCACTTAAGTTATCCATCGGGTCTTCCTGCCGGTTTGGGTCCTCCGGCCATGGTTCTTGAATGTTGATGTGGTGCTCTCCCTCCACCATCGTTGTGTCGCCACTTGGGTTCATGCCATGCTGGGGGTTGGAGGTTGGTCGCGTTTGAGTTAGGTCTTCTGAAATGATGACAGCCCTGTGTTTGTTCGCATTTAGCCCAGCGCCCACGTTGATAGTCTTCGTTTGGTTCTGTTGTTGGATCTGGGCTGAGAGCCCATCGTTCACTTGGGGCGCTTTGGGATTTAATTTCGGCCCACCACCCTTTATATGGGCTTTATGCATGTTATTAGCCTGGGCTCCTTCCTTTGCAGGCCCATTATTATTGCGCAGTTTAGGGTTTTCCGCATTGCCCTTGGCCGGGTTTTTTCCTCTCCTCGTGATCACGCGCAATTCTCTGTCAACCGAATCTGCAGGTATCTTTTTTGATTGCACAAAATCTTGCCCATTATTCTCCATCGAAGAAGCACCAAATTCGAATACCTGATTAGATTCCCTCAATCCTTCCCTTTCCAAAATATCAAATCGAGATCCCGCCACCACGTTCGAGCGCAGATTTTTGGCTGATTGCGCTTTTTCCGGACCCTTATCGCGCCTCGAGTAAGCCTGCCGAGTCCGCTGAGGAACTTGGATCCACGGCCCATACATTGTCTCTTCGCCATCACGCTCCGTCGTTGTCTTACCCTCCGCACCGTAGGTATTGCTTTTGAAGGGTCTATCATGCCCATGAGCCTGTGCCTCTGCATGTGCATGTTCATCCTTCTCTTTGGTGGTCGGGGGGTGGAGGCAAGAGTTACCCGTGTGACCTATCCTTCCGCATTGAAAACAAATAACTGTCAGGTTTTCATAGACCACGCGCTGAGTCCTCCCGTTAATGGCGAAGCTAACGCATAGTGGCTTAGTCAAATCGACTGTTACAGCAAGTCGACCATATTTGCCTCGAGTTAGGGCTGCTGTTTGCTGGTCTATCTTGACCACCTTCCCGACAATCCGACCAATAGTACGGAAGATCTTTTTATGGTACAAATGAGCCGGCATTCCGGGGAGACGAATCCAGGCAACCGTTGTTGATAACTCCTCTTTCGTCGCATCAAAGTCTAGGGTCCAAGGCTGCACGTGCATATAACTATTCCCCACAACATATGGCCCTCCAGTGAGCACCCTGACCGTATCGTCGTTATTTTGGAAGTGAACTAGGTAAAATCCACTCTCGAGATCCATCATGTTGCATCCAACCATAAAGGGCCACATTTTAGTAAGGCGGTTGTAGAGGGATGCCATGGAGAGCGACTCGTCGAAAGGTTTCAAGACTACTGCGTTTTGCCACTTCTTATTGATCTGCTCAATAAATCGCTGCGCGATTTTTATTTCCGGCACAGGGCATGAGAGATCTACGACCACGTCCTCTTCGATACCATCTTCGACGCCATCATCATCCGAGTTCAGATCCTCATGGTTTCTGTGTTTGTTAACCATGTCTCGGAATGACCACTTCTGTATAACTGGTGCCTGAGTAGTCGCCGGTTGGGCCTGTAGATTCGAAGATGGCTGATGTTCCAGAGGATCTTCGGATCGCTTACGCGTTCTTGATTTTTTGGTTGCCGGCAAAGCGTTCCGATCCAGCAGTGGGAATTCTTCATCGTGTGTGAGGGTCTGAAGATTAACTCCTGGGTCAAAGGTTTCCGATCCGTCCGTCTGCGTGTAGAGAGCGTTGGGAGCGTAGGGAGCGTTGGGAGCGTTTTCGAGATTTGTAATCTTTAGATCAACAATTACATGATGATCTAACGATTACAAATCTCGAGAACCATTCCGTCGAGATTTGTAATCTTTAGATCAACAATTACATGATGATCTAACGATTACAGATCTCGACGGAATAATTCCGTAACTTTCCTAAATTTGGGTATAAATTTTTGCCAATTATTATGTCAAAGAAAGCTTTATCCTTCAGGTTACGCGCGTAAAAGTGACCAATTGACATTTGACACCTGTTTGCTGGTGGGTGAACTACTAGTATTTTTTAGGTCAACCTCTTTTTATCTTTCGAAGTAACAAAAAATGTCATCTATTAAAGATCCTATTTTTTAAGTCAACCTATTTTATCTCTCGAGGTAACAAAAAAAAAATGTCATCTATTACATATCCTCTTCACCACATATAATTATAGGTAGTAATAATAATGTACTATTATATATGAGATTTCGAGGCATAATAGGCATTAACAAAAGTATTGAAGCAAATTTATTGCTTCCAATATATGAAAAAATACAATATATGAATCTTGTTCATCTTGTTTATGTTGTTTATTATATTATATAACATAATTTACATCACTTGAAAAAATATTTACTTAATAAACGCTACGTCTGTTTAACTGCGGGTCTCTGATTCGATTTAGTGCATTTGATATAAGTCATAGAATATTATTGCCTCTCATTATTTTTGTTCGAACACGGTTCATTCACTATTTAAAAAGAAAACGAAAGAAAGAAAGAATTGCGCATTATTATTTTTTCCATTGATTTAGAAGATTTATGCAACGTACTCCAAATGTTCACATAATCACAATATAAAATTGTAGATTACTATATAAAAATGTACCTTAACATTAAGAATGTTGAATTGTATAGCATTGAATTTGTTGAACAAACTTCAACATTTTATTTCCCCCTCAAGGACATTAATTCTTTATCAACTTTTTGACATAAGAAATTTATGATTTTTTTTTTATTTTTATTTTTTTGCTAAATGCTCATTTATTTAATAAATGTCCATTGTGAGAGATAAGAAAAATAACTATTTTACACTATTGGACCCACATACCTCTCTCACATGATCTTGGGCTACGTGAAATAGATAAGTTATTTGTTAGTAGCTAGTGACTACTCTCTCTCTTACTTTTTCCCTGTCCACGTCATAATAGTTAGCCAAATAGCTAACCATTGGAGACGCCCTTAGGGCATCTCCAATGGTAATAGCTATTACTAGCTATATAATCAGCTGACGTGGATGTGAGAGATAAGAAAAATGACTATTTTACACTATTGGACCCACATACTCCTCTCACATGATCTTGGGCTACGTGAAATAGATAAGCTATTTGTTAGTAGCTAGTGACTACTCTCTCTCTTACTTTTCCCTTGTCCACGTCATAATAGCTAGCCAAATAGCTAACCATTGGAGACACGTGTGAATTTAAGAATTGTTAGGTAGAGAAGGAGGACCAGAAAGCCAGGATGATAGTAGTTAGCACCAATCATTATGGAACAACAAATATGAATACAAAATTACTACACTGCATGTTCACATAATTTAATATTTTTATGCACTTTTAATTTGGTAAAATAAAATGTTTGGTGTGGAAA